CTAGACCTTTAATTAAGAGACTCAATTAACTAGCTTTGTGTGACTCATTATCCTTTTTACCAGTGTTTGAATTAGTGAATGTAGGTGAATGAAAAATAACTTGGATATGTAACATAAAAACCTAAACAAAACTGAAAATGTTAACTATAGATTCAAGAGTCGTGTTAAAAGGATGACCATGGTTCCAGTGGCTTTGAGAACATCCAGGGCTTCAGCTTCATGAGTCTGACAGAGGGATAAGCTGCTTAATGGGCACCAAGTAGAAGAACAATCTGGGCTTCATTCTATATTTGTGTTTCCAGACATCAGCAGCTCAAACACAGAGCAGAGTTTTCAGGATCCATGTCCATGAACAGTGACAATTCTCGAGATTATCCTCCAGTCTTCAGTCATGAACCTGGACCCTCATTCACAAAGTAAGTGACTGATTCTGTTGTAAATTGAGCAAATATGATTTTGTTTTTTGCAGTCTTTAATATTATGTAAGAAGAATTTCAGTCTCCAGATGTGCAAAGCTGGTAGAGACATACCCTAAAAGACTGGCAGCTGCAATTGCAGCAAAAGGTGGTTCTACAAAGTATTGACTCAGGGGGCTGAATAATTACACACACCCCACTTTGTAAATTTTGTAAAAAAACATTTGTAAAAAATGTTTGGAATCATGTATGATTTTCGTTCCACTTCTCACATGTACACCACTTTGTGTTGGTCTTTCACGTGGAATTCCAATAACATTGATTCATGTTTGTGGCTGTAATGTGACAAAATGTGGGAAAGTACAAGGGGCCAAATACTTTTTCAAGCCACTGTATTCAGCCGGAGCAAAGCAATAGAATCAACAAACAATAGTCACAAAAACAAATCACTTGAATCTGCCTATGGTCTCATCTTTGAAAGGAGAGACATTGGAGGAGAGAAATGGGCATGCTTTGGCCATGAAACACCTGTCTCTGTGTAAATATAACTCAATAGGAAAAGACCCGAGTTCTTGAAAGCTGTATTCCAATCAGAAACAATGAAATCCCAATCATCTAAATTACGCTTAGTCATCCTAATCAAGCAGCTAAAGGTTTTTCTCGCTAAGACAAGTTCTGGGCTGTGTGCCCGGTGGTACAAAGAATCCAGCAGAGCAGCGCACACACGCACCAACCCCATCTGTCTTGACTTAATTACTTTTGTCGAACAACCTCTCACAAAGCAGCTGGTTTGCTGTCTCTCTGTATGTGTTTGACCTTTTAATTTTCTCTTTCATTTTTAAAATAACTGCTCTTTTAACAGTATACTTATCCATGATGATTAGTTAGATGATGCCAACTAAACACCTTTCACGTCAACATGTGCGTAGCTAACCCTGTGTTAAAATAGCGAGTTAATTAACTACCTTTGTGTGACTTATTATCCCGATTCCCGTTGCCAGGATTAGTTAATCCAGATGAAAGGAAAATGACTTTGATATGTAACAGAAAGAAATAAACAAAAAACAAACTCAAAAATATTAACTAAGGATTCAAAAGTGGCTTAAAAAGGATGACCATGGTGCCAGCTTCCCCTACAGAAAGTACAGTGGTTTTGAGAACATCCAGGGCTTCAGCCTCATGAGTCTGACACTGACAGAGCACCAGCTTAATGGCCAACAACAGAAACATAGAAGTAGAAGAACAATGTGTGTTTCATTCTGTGTTTGTGCTTCCAGACATCAGCGGCACAAACACAGAGCAGAGTTTCCAGACATCAGCCGTATGTCCATGAACAGTGACAATTCTCGAGATTATCCTCCAGTCTTCAGTCATGATCCTGGATCCTCAGGCACAAAGTAAGAGGTTCCTTTTGTTGTAAACTGAACTGAAGATGATTTTGCTTTTTGCAGTCTTGGGTATTAATTCAAATGGGTTCGTGGGGTGGGGTCACTGGAATTTTCTCAACCACTTTAGCGACAGGTTTTATTTAAAATTAAATATCAAGGTGTGAAATGACTGCTTTTGGAGGAATTCATTGGAAATTCATCTGGAAAAGTCTGGAAAGTCTCATATATGAGCAACAATTGTGTGTTTCTTTCAGTTTGTATGATTTTTTAACATATTTATATTGTTTATCCATTAAGTTTTGTAGTTTTATCTTTAACCTCCTAGGACCTGGCATCCACATATGTGGACATCACATTTTGAGTTATTTAGATTCTTTGTTTTTACATTCAGCGGGTCCCAATCAGCACAAATATCACAGAGAAATTTAAAATGCATGCTGTGGAAGAGCTTGGGTCTTAGGATGTTACCTACTGCTCTCCTATCAGTGCATTCAACCATGATCTTAATTGGTTAGATGCTCCCAACCACACACCTGTAATGTGTAGTGATGTGCGATACCACTGATTTCCTTTCCGATCCTATACCAAGTACTTTTCAGGGTGGTATCGACGATACTGATCCGATACCGATACTTTATACAAAAAAACGTATTTTATTTATTGTATCTCAAATTATAGCGTCATAATGATTACAGGACATCAGATTACTTGTTCATCATATAGAAAAAAAAAACTGAAGTTGTGCGCTATTTGAACACGTTGCCTGCCTGCAGCACTAAAGGACTCCGTGAGAGACGCGATTCGTCTCAACATACGCGCCTCAAATTCTGTGATATGATTTACTCTGAGGTGTTTGACAAGGTTAGTGATGTTGCCACAACCAAACATGCCAACCCTCCCGATTTTTCCGGGAGAATCCCGGAGCCACCATTCTCCCGAATTTCCACCTGGACAACAAAATTGAAAAACCATATTGCAGAATTCATAGCGCGGCCGATCCAATTCCAGTTTCCAACAATGGTGGCAGCTGCTTAGTTTTAATATCACTCTTATTTCTCTTTCTGGGTCGCAAAAAAACCCAACTTTTAACATGTTTTCAGGTGAGAATGTAGCTGTGTAAACTTCAAATATCTGAGCCGATCGACACATCGTCTTCAAACCCCCGCAGGCTTTCACTACTCGGGTTAAACATGATATATAAGTCACTTTGATAATTTAAAAATGTTAATTGTTTGGCCTTTTCAGTGTTTTGTTTGTTCGTGAGTAAATCGGTTTGGCTTTTAAATGTTTAAATTAAATTTAACTTTATTAAACCCTCGGGTGGGTTCCTCCGGGGTTTTCACACAGCTGAATAAACGTCAAACAGAAAACTAATTAAAGAAAGTGTGAGACGGTCGAGAGTTTACGCCAGCGCCCGGTTATGTTTTAGAGAGCAAGGAGCAGACGGCTGAGTTTCACTCCACCGAGGGAACTCATGACGTCCTACCCAGCTTTCTTTAGACCGCGAAGGGCGGGTCCTCAGGTGGAAGCAGTGTCTGAATTTGGACACCCCAGCTGTTTCCAGGTCGGCCAATAATAACGGTGACATTTAACGTATTTTATCCGATAAATAAACACTGTAAAATGTGCCCTTTTGATTGTCTCCCTAATTCTGAGGTCTCAAGGTTGGGAAAGTATAGCCACAACACCTCACTCTTGGAGCACTTTTTTGCCACATGTATCTCAAACCACGTCTCAGCTGTTTGTGGAGGTAAAATACGTCCGCACAATTAGGCTCAGCCATTGTTGTGAGTGCGCATGCCAAGGCGCTGCGAGACATTTATACAGCCGTATTTCGCACATGACTATGAAAGGTGGAAGAGGAAGTAATTCCTTTGAATGTAGACAATCCGAATGTTATAGTTTCTTTCCACTGTGTTGCTGTTAATGATAAACTACAAATTAACCCTCAATTATTAAAAATATTGATATTTTAATGTGAGAATCGATCCTAGAACATAAATGACTGGTATCGGAGGAATCGATATTTCAGGATCGATCCGCACATCACTAGTAATGTGAACACATTCGTAGCAAGACTGCCAATTCCTTGGTTACAATTATTTAAGGATAAAAATTATTTCCAGGATCCAGCGCTATATCCATGAACAGTCACAAGTCCAGAGATTATCGTCCAGTCTTCAGTCATGAACCTGGACCCTCAGTCACACAGTAGGAGACTGATTCTGTTGTAAAGTGAGCTGATGATGATTTTCTTTCTTGCAGGCTTTGATATTGTTTCAAAGGGGTTTTGTCAGAGTGGAGTCACTAAATGATATTTAACCAACTCCAGAGTAGGTTATTTTTTTAGATTAGAAATCAAAATGAATTAAATGACTGCTATTGGAAGTGTAAAGTCTGTGGAGAGCATAAGGCACCATTCTTCAAAGCTCTGGGTAAATTCTGTCTTCCAAAAACAGGGAATTATTTGGGTGAACTTTTTTTTAACATGCCAGCTTTTTTCTAGTCTTTTTGAGAAAGGCTTTGATAATCTTTTTTGTTTTGTCTTTTTGTTTTTCCCCAAGCAAGCTCTTTTTAAAATCGATTTAAAATGACGAACCTAGGCCATAAACATGAAGTAATATGGGGTGGCTATAGCTGAGGTGGCAGAGCAGGTCAGCCACTAATCAGAAGGTCGGTGGTTTGATCCCAGGCTGTCTCCTGCATGCCAAATATCTTTGGGCAAGATACTAACCCCATGTTTGCCTACTGGTGGTGGTCAGAGGGCCCGGTGGCGCCAGTGTCCGGCAGCCTCGCCTCTGTCAGTGCGCCCCAGGGCAGCTGTGGCTACAATAGCTTGCCATTGTGTGGGTGAATAACTGAATGTAGTGTAAAGTGCTTTGGGGTCCTTAGGGACTGAGTAAAGCATTATACAAATTCAGGCCATTTACCATTTTAATAGACTGTTTGTCCAAAACTGAGCTGATAGTCAGTTGTCAGCAGAAAGAACTTTTTTTATGAAGTCTAACTATCTTTGCCTATGTGTTAATGCATTCCAAGCAAATGTTTCTGGGTCATTCACAATTTATTAGCTATAGACATGAGCACTGACATGTCCTATTTCATTACGTGTTTCTGTCTTTGAAACAAAGTTTCCAGAAGGTATGTAAACTTGGGTATATTCTGAATTTATTTTGGTATTCACAGAGATGTGGCACTGGTTGGGGAGCCACTGTCCTGCTGTCCTTTGTGTCAGAATGTCTTGAAGGATTCATCAAGAAAGTCCTCCTGTCCCCAATGTGGAGAAAGATCCAGAACCAGACCTGGTCTGCAGACAACCAGTAAGAGCAGCTGTTGAAAAAGAAAGACTTAACACCTTTCTGCTGATGGACTGATTTTTTTTTTTTTTTTGGAAAAACTGCACTTCTTATTATGCTATTGACACATTAACCAGTTTTCTTGCTCTCTAGTTTTATGGGTTTTTGTTTTAAATTTCTGTCAACAGATGCTCATCTGCAGAAAATTTCAGATGCCCTAAAGCTCAGTCTGAGAACAAGATATGAACATGTGACTGAGGAAACTAATAAAACAGGATGTGGAGCCCTCCTCAGAATGATTTACACTGAGCTCTACATCACTGAGGGACAGAATAAAGAATTTTGCTTCCAACATGAGGTGAGGCAGGTGGAGAGCGCTTCCAAGAAGAATATCCTCTTTGAAACACCAATCAGCTGCCAGGACATCTTTAAAGCCTTGCCTGACCAACAGAGACCCATCAGAGTGGTTCTGACATATGGTGTTGCTGGCATTGGAAAAACCTTCTTGGTGCAGAAGTTCACTCTGGACTGGGCAGAGGGCTTAGAAAACCAACACATCAGTGCGGTGGTTGTGCTTTCATTCAGAGAGCTGAACTTGGTCAGAGATGAGCAGTACAGTCTCCTGGAGCTGATCCATGATTTCTATCCAACATTACAGAGCATCACAGCAGAGAAGCTCACTGTGTGTAATCTTTTGTTCATCTTTGATGGCCTGGATGAAAGCAGACTTTTGTTGGATTTCACAAAAAGGAAGCTTTTGTCTGATGTTACACAGAAGTCAACCATCAGTGAGCTGTTGACAAATCTCATCGAGGGGAATCTGCTTCCATCTGCTCTCATCTGGATAACTTCCCGACCCGCAGCAGCCAGTCAGATTCCTCCTAAATGTGTTGACAGGGTGACAGAAGTTCGAGGCTTTACTGACTCTCAGAAGGAGGAGTACTTCAGGAGAAGATTCAGAGATGAAGCATTCTCCAGCAGAATTATCTCCCACTTGAAAACATCCAGGAGCCTTTACATTATGTGTGGGATCCCAGTCTTCTGCTGGATCACTGCTACAATTCTGGAGCACATGTTGACTACAGAGGAGAGAGCAGAGCTGCCCAAGACCCTGACTGACATGTACTCACACTTCCTGCTGGTTCAGATAAAGAAGAAAAAGCACAAATACTCTGAAGGGCATGGGACAGGTGTACAGAAGCTTATCAATGCTGACAGGGAAGCTCTTCTGAAGTTGGGGCAGCTAGCATTTGAACATCTGGAGAAAGAAAATATCGTTTTCTACCAAGAAGACTTGGAGCAGTGTGGTCTGGATGTCACAGAGGTCTTGGTGTACTCAGGAATTTGTACAGAGATCTTCAAAGAAGAATCTGTGATCTTCCAGAAACCAGTTTACTGCTTTGTTCATCTGAGCATTCAGGAGTTTCTGGCTGCAGTCTACATGTTCCACTGTTACACCAATAAGAAGACAGAGGTGCTGCAGGACTTCCTTAGTAAAGACATCTTATCTCTGGAAGATCTTTTGAGCAATGCCATGGAGAAATCTTTCCTAAGTGACAGCGGCTACCTGGAACTGTTTGTTCGCTTCCTTCATGGCCTCACTCTGAAGTCCAACCAGAGACTCTTAGGTGGTCTGCTGGGTCAGACAAAGAGCAGTCCACAAATCGTCCAGAGAGTCATCAACAACCTGAAGGAGATTAAAACTTATGATAAGTGTCCTGACAGAAGCCTCAACATCTTCCACTGTCTAATGGAGATGAATGACCTTTCGGTACATCGGGAGATCCAAGAGTTCCTGAAGTCAGAGAACAAATCCGTGAAGAAACTCTCTGGAATTCAGTGCTCAGCTCTGGCATATATGCTGCAGATGTCAGAGGAGGTTTTGGATGTACTGGATCTGAAAGAATACAACACATCACAGGAGGGACGACAGAGACTTGTTGCAGCTGTGAGGAACTGCAGAAAGGCTCGGTGAGTCCAGATGTGATTAATAATATAAATTAGAGTAGATTTATAGTATAGTTCTTTAAATGATTCTTACTATAACATTCTCATGATTCTTTTTACACTGTTCCTGTTATTTATTTAATTTATTTATTTATTAGAAACATTAAATGTCAGTCTTTTAAAGCTACTTAAATCCCATAAAAAACTATTTTTTACTAAATAATTTTCTGGTTAGTTAATTTTTGGCATGTCTATAGCTTCAGTTGAAGCAGCCATTATGGCCACATGTGAAAAGGATGGGATAACACTGAATGTTGTCATAGTGATTTGATTTCAGCAGTACAAATACAAAAGTCAGTGACAACTATTGCTGCGGAAACACTAGCTGGTAGTCAGGCTGTACACGTGTCCTTGTGCAGTTGAAAATCATCCACCAAGTCCGCTTGTAGTTGAACACACAAACATTTATTTTCACAGTCTTGAGATCACAGTAGCCTGAATGTTCTTTTTTTCCCGCCTGTCCCGTTTGGCTCTTTTGCCATCAGAATTATTGTCTAAAGGCAAAGAAAGATGTCCAACTGATTTACTTTACCAAATGGACCATCCCAGCCTTACCAAATTGGTCTATTTGATTCTCCTTTGCTTTTATTGTTTATTTTATTTTATTTTCACTTGCTAAATACAGACCTGACTGGGAGAAAGAAAGAGGGAAAGAAAAACAGCGGGGAAGAGGAACGGTGATAAAGGGCAAAACCCCCCAAAAAACCAACAAAACAAACAGACAAAAAATACATATATCACCTGGATCACATGTTGAGAAAGATAAAAGATAAAACAAGCAAAAAAAAAAGATCAACATAATAAACAACATCACGATGATCTATGGGAATATAACAGTAAATACTAAATATTAAACATTATTGTGCAGCACGTAAGATCGACAGCGCACAGTGTGCTTTGAGGTAGGAGCCAAAAAGGGTGTAGTTTGTGTGTGTGAGCTAGGGCTGCTCGATTATGGCAAAAATGATAACCACGATTATTTTCACTGAAATTGAGATCTCGATTATTTGATGATATTTAACCCTTTAAGACCCACCATAGAACCAAGTCCGCCAGAGCTTATATTATTTTTTTACATGTTGTAGTGCCATTTGTGGGAGCATCTCAAGTTGCTATACAACTGTTATAGCCCATATTTTAATAATATGTCTGCATCAAGTCCATAGTAACTACATTAATTGCAAAAAAGTGCAATAAACTACAAAAAAATTGAAAATCGTTTTTTGTTTTTTTACATATATTTCTACTTGGAGAAATTTAAGAGGCTTATCCCACAAAACTTTAAATACAAAAAAGTTGCAAAAAAATAGTTTACAACAACAGGAAAATAATTTTGAGTGTCTTCATAGTTTTATTTTGGAGATATACCAATTTTTATATACTGCAGGAAAAACAAAAAAACAATCCTATGATGCAAATTTGCAAAGAAAACAGCAGGTGCATCAAAATAAACTATTTCCAGCTGTGCAATTCGAGTTCTAAGCATCCCAGCAACTATTCAGAAAAGTCAAACATGACCAGTGTAGGCTTTTAAGGCCTACAAGTAAAAAACTACATTTTCCACGAATATGACGTCACTTCCGGTTTCGGCCAGGAAATGGCGGACATGCGATAGTTCGCGCTGACGTCTGTTTCACTGTGGGAAGTGTTACGAACAGCTGATCGGATCGGCAAAGCTTCTGGAATATTATGCTTTTGTTCCTGCAAGCGCTTTTTATGCAGTTTTTGCAAAGCTTTATGTGGAAGGAAACCGTGACCGAGGACAAGCTGATGGCATCAGATGTAAGTGCAACTCCTCCGGTTTCATATGCAAAACAAATTATTGCGCTAGCTTAGTGGTTCAGGTTCTACAGGGCTTTAAAGGGTTAACAATAACAACGTATTGAATAATGACTTTAAAAAATAATATAAAATAGTGTGCAACACCACTGAAGTTTTTTTTTTTACCTCTCTTTTCATCCAACGGCAGTCACTCTCCTCTCCAAATAACTTCTGCTGAGCTTTCCGAGCTTCCCTCGGGTCCTCTTAATCAGCGGTCTCCAACCTTCTTTGCACCACAGACCGGTTTATGCCCAACAATATTTTCACGGACCGGCCTTTAAGGTGTCGCGGATAAATGAGGGAGGGGCTAATAATCGGCTCAGTCATTTTTAATGATCGTTGAAAGCCCAGATCGTAATCGTGATTAAATTTCGATTAATTGAGCAGCCCTAGTGACTCCCAAGCTAGTGTGAGCACCCGTGTGTGAGCATCAGCGCGCTTGTCTTAAAAGGATCCTTCATGTAATGATCTGCTAGAAGGTGTGGGGAGCCACAGCCCCGTCCTCCATGGTATCAAGCAGGTATGGAGGAGATCAAGACTCCAGACATCCAGAGGCCCCCAGAACACAAGAGACCAAGGAAGACCAACAGAGGGGCAGCTGCACCACTATCCCAGAAAGAGCTGAGGACAGTCCCAGATGAGGGCTCACTCAGCAGCCGGGGAGCAGAAGCCAGGGGGAGTTGCAGTGACGTGTCTGTGAGCTCCGCCGGCAGCCAGCTGTGTCAGAGTGGCCGAGCCCCAGGCCGAGAGGCCGGGGGCACCCCACCCCCGAAGGGGCCCGAGCGAGCCCCAGGCTCCAGGCCCCGACAAGCAGCCACCAAGGAGTGAGCCGGTGTGTACCTGGACGCCCATCCCCGGACACAAAGAACCATCAACGCACCGATGTCTGAGGGCGTCTGCCACTGGCAGGGGAAGTGGTGGGGGGAGATAGGCCTCCATACCTTGGAGGGCCTGAGATGTCCCCAGAGAGGTGGCGTCTGATAACCGACTTGACATATAGATGTTACAGGCCTTCGATGGGGTCTGTTTTTAACTGTTTTTTTTACAGAAAAGCAGAGACAGGAGACATCAGTTGCGTTCGGTCTGCAGGCTCTTCCTCGTCTGAGGCAGAGACGCGATGCAACGGCCTATCACACTCACCACTATCTCCCCCTTGTGGCAATGCCACGCAATTACATTGTCCATAACTCTAAATGAAAAGTGCAATACCACCATAAAATCAGGTCTTTTACATCAAAAACAATTCACAAAAAAATTACAATTGTGACCATACACTTGTGGGCGTCACATAGACACAGACAAATAGGCACACACAGATACAAACATCCATTCCCACCCACATGCTCTCATATTGTCATATGTCTGAATGTTCTGCACACTGCCAAACACGGTAAGAAAACTGTTTGACTCCACAGCTAGTTAAAGCCCCGTTAGTCCACAGTGCCGATTATGACCACTCCCCCTGTGCACAATTACGATGTATTAAAGGAACAGAACGTAAAAACGAAATAAGGAAAGAAAATATAATTTAACTGTAAATATTACACTAAACAAAATTGTAAAGTAAAAACTGACATTCCCCATTATCTTACACTTTATCCTCATCCAAAATAATTCAAATCAAATTAGTAACAAATATACACTCTGTGAAATCTGAGTAAAGTCATAGATATATAGACCTTTTATCTTATGCAAAAACATTATCTATTTAATAAATCTTGACAACATCACTACGAGCGGCCATAAACCACTGATCATATGCGAAAGAGACTAACGTAATAGTCGACGAATGCATCTGCACATCCAAATCACACGACAGATGGAAGACGATGTAGCAGCATGATGCAGCCTTGCCGAGTCTCCATTCAAATTGTGCCAAAAGTGCAAACTTCAAACTATTTACCAGGTTTTAGGTTGTGAAGTAAAACCAGACTTATGATAAATAATTTATGCCATGCTTATTCCTGAAAACTGTCCCTCTTTTCTCTCCTTGGCTTGCATATTAAATCTAAAGAAAGATTAAAAATCGGTGGGTCTGACAGAGACTGGGAATAAATAATGTTTCATGTCAAACATTCAGATCAATTGAAACACTGATGTCAAGACAAAGTGTCCAGTTGTTTTTCATTAAGTGTATGAAGTAAATATAATGTGTCCTCTTCATAATAACATATTTTCTAACACATATGTCAACACAGACTTCACGATGTTTGGCTCTCAGAGAATCACTGTAAAACTGTGACCTCAGCTCTGATGTGCAACAACTCCAATCTGAGAGCGCTGCAGCTGAGTTCAATCAAGCTGCGGGATCCAGCAGAGGCACTGTTTGCTAGTCTGGGGCATCCAAACTGCAGACTGGAGACACTCAGGTCAGTTAACTGAATCTGTTGTTATTTCTGAAGGTCTTTTGAACTGTGAAGTGATGTCCTTATAACTCAACTGCAGTGTTGTTAGACAGATGATGCAGAGGCACCGATCCAACTTTATTATTTTTATTTATTTTGTGGTTCCAATAGTATACCTTAACTTTATTCATCCAGGACCTCGATTTTACTGGGTGATTGTGGGAACTGTATGTATGAACAAGATATATTTTAATTGATTCCTTCAAATCCAGCACGTATAATATTGGGAAATCATACACACAATTACAGGAATCTAAAAATCTTCAGCCCAGTATTGTACCAGTAACCATGACAGCTGGAAATATTAGGGGGATAATGTGGGTGCGACAAACACCAGAGTTTAGAGCAGCCGACTAATAGTCAGACCTTGTTCACATGCTGACATTTTAAAGATAAAAATAAACAATGAAATAAACAAATTCTAAAAGCATTATTTAGTTCTAATCCATGTGTACCAGTTGTATGATGGGTTCTGTAGGTTTAAGAAAAGCTGTCAATGTCTACATTTTTATTTTTTAATTAAGATACAAATAAAGACAGACTGTGTCCAAAACTTTGGGATAAAATCTTTTCTGTCAAAATAAATAAATGCTTTTACAGCTGAAGTAAAATCATCATGCAAATAAAGTTTATATTTGCTAAAAATAAATGTTGCAATCTCTAGCTTACACATAAACACACACGTGCTAAACTTTTGTTTGAGGTTTTAGACGGAGCCCAAATAGGTTCTTAATGGTTGGTTTCGTAAGACACCGCCTCTGTTTAATGATGGTCATCCACAGAGGACATAAATGGCTTCTTTCACTCCTCTCTCAAACCATCTGTCTTCTCTGTCCATAATGTCACAACTGGTGTCCTTGAAAGTGAGTGTGAGTGAGAGTGACCTTTGTCCTTTAGATGCAGCTGTATTTGTCCTTTTGGTGTGGCTCTTCTAGGTTGTGCCATGCGTTTTGAGAGTGGTCCTTTCATTTACCTCATTTAGAGGTCTGAGCAATCACGCAGAATTTCACAGTGTATACTATGTTGTTTAAATTGTGCTTGGGAGTTTTGACTTTGGGATTATCCCGTTTTTGTTTAAGGGTGTTACTATCATGGTCTGTGGCCAGACCATATGGAGTATGAGTAGAGGACCCAAATGCAGACACAGGGGAACAGAATTTGAATGTGAATAAAAAGCGAGCCTTTATTGAGCTGAAACATGAGAAACAAAAATACAACGCAAGATACCCGTGGGGCAAAACTAAATATCTGACTAAGCAGTGACCAGACTGTGAAACAACTAAAAACCCTGTCATGGTTCTGGGTGACCCAGTGTTTTTGTGTTTCATTTTATTTTGATCAGCCCCTGTGTGTATTTAGTTTGTGTCTTTCTGTCCAGTCAGTGTCAGGTCATCTGTTGTACCACCCCATGTCATGTTATTGTGTGTGACAATGGTGTTCGGGGCATGTTCAAGTCTTGTTTATATCTTCAGAGAGTGAATATTCATAAAGCTTGTTGCAGTGTTAACTAAGACAAATTACTATATATGGTTACAAAGTGTGCTGTGCAAACGTGGTTATATGATGTGAGTGCAGCCCTCCTAGGTTGTTGTGGTTATCTTGTCCACCCAGGTGGCTTCCTTCATTGAGTGCAGTCTGTTCTTCTCAAGGCTGCTTGTTTCCTTTATGAAGGTCTTGCACATATTCATATGCATGGTTTACATAGGGATCAAACAAAAGCATTCTAGCTTTTTAAATGGCAACCTACAACACATTAACCCTAACAACAATACAGTGGAACCCCGACTTACGAATACCCTGTTTCACGAAAAATTCAAGTTATGAAGGCGTTGGACGGCAATAATTCTGCCCGTGTTACTGCAAAATGCCAGAGTAACGAAATCCACTGGCTCTGATTGGCTGAGCCTACAATGCCTTCCGAATCATGTGACAACCCCTTGCCTTCTTTTCTTGCGTTCCACTTGAACGACATATTGTTGTTCTAGTTAGCAATTAGCCTATAGCCTATCATTCAGCATCGCATCACTCAAAACGCGCAATGGGTGCTTCGACTTACGAAAATTTTGGACTTACGAAAGACCCTCGGCAACTAATTAATTTCGTAAGTCGGGGTTCCACTGAACTGGTTCCGCATTATGTCCACTGTACATAGACTAAATACAGACAGGAGGTAATTAAGGGAAGTGGAAACACACGGGGACACAACTGACACAAATGAACGTCATGACGCCACAAGAGAAGGTGAAACTAAAACAATGCACACTGAACAAAAGACCTAAACAAAACAGGAAACACAGAGAGATGCAGACATGACACAGGCTTGACCTCATGAAACCACACAAACAGCAAATACATAACATGACCAGAACAGACTTACACCAGGGGACATGACGAGACTCATAACTAAGGAGACATGAAAGGACTTAATCTAGACTACAACTTAAGGCAATAACTAACAATATTAAGACTTAGCTTTATCTCATAAACTCAACTAAACCCTTAAATTTAAGAAAAGCACACAACTTGAACAAAATATAAACATAAGAAACCAATACAAAAAACACAAAACACTGGGTTTGCCGAGTACCAAATGTGTGTGTGTGGGTTTTTTTTTTTTTTTTTTGCATGTTTGCACTTGACAATATTCTGTACAGTTTGCAATAGTCTGCATCTCAATTAGCTGTTTACTTGGTTTCTCAAAAGATAAAGGTAATTTAATAAAATAACACTCTGTAATTCACATGATTGTTATTCAGATTTGAGAACGTCACTTTGTCAGAGAACAACTGTGCTGCTCTGCTCAGTGCTCTGAAGTCCAACCCCCCCTATCTGAAACGTCTGGATCTAATAGCATGCAACCTGGAGGGCGCAGGGATGAAACAGCTGTATGATTACCTGGAGAGTCCACACTGCAAACTACAGTTTAAAAGGTCAGTTCACTTGACTTGGATTATGAAGGAAAAATATTTCTTTGGTTTTTGTTTATCAGTGTGTCTGCAGAAAAAACAATCACACATACAAAGAGAATAAGGATGCGTGTAGAAGGCTGACTTTGTGATGATCCACAGTAACAAAAGTAAAAGTTACTCCTCTTTTTAGAGAAAAAAGCTTTAAATGTGCAGTTTATATGGTAACATTGAACTGCAAAAGTTTATGAATTGTTAGTTTCACATGTCCACAGAATCTACATTTCTGGACTTCTGTCCAAAACAACACAAGATCTTTTTTTTGACAATGTCTGCATACCTCTAGTTAGAAACTCTACTACTACTACTACCCATTCCAATTTGACTTGAATCCGCAGATACTCTGCGGATTCAAGTCAAATTGGAATGGGAACTACACCCACCTCTTTTTGTGGAAAACAGTCAACAGGAGCAGAGCAGCTCTTTAAGTACAGTGTGTATAGCTTTTTGATAGAGACCTGGATTTAACATTGCATGGCTTCTAACTGCAAATGCGGCAAATTTAAATAAATATTTTATAGCCATTATGTTCTCAGAAACAGAAAATTCCTTCTTAAAAACAGATGAACTGTGAATTTGTCTGTATCAAAACTAAATATGACAGGAAATGTTACTTCTGTCCCATTCTCAATAGTAAGCTGCTCACTTCTTACTGGACCTACATCTTAACAGGTTACACCAAGAAGCACTGGCTGATCAGTAATAGTAACAACAATGAGTTGATTACAAACATTTGGGGCGACCGTGGCTCAGAAGGTCGCCGGTTCGATCCCCGGGCCCTCTGTCCTGGTCGTTGTGTCCTTGGGCAAGACACTTTACCCTACCGCCTACTGGTGTTGGCCAGAGGGGCCGATGGCGCGATATAGCAGCCTCGCTTCTGTCAGTCTGCCCCAGGGCAGCTGTGGCTACAACTGTAGTTTGCCTCACATTCACACACTGGCGTGTGAATGTGATAGTGAATGAATAGTGGCATTGTAAAGCGCTTTGGGTGCCTTGAAAAGTGCTATATAAATCCAGTCCATTATTATTATTAAATCCTGGATGCACTTATACTCAGTTTTAATGTTGTTTGATTAGTATGACTTTTTTAGTGTCTTTTCTCACTTTGTTAACAAAAAGATGTAACAATTAATGTTCTCCTGTTCTTGGTCCTGTCTCATTGTGTTCCTGCAGAGTGACCTCAATTTAAATGCTGTATTGTGGTGAGTATTATTCAGATACTGTAGTGGGATTAATTTATGTATTTCACTATCAATTCCAAGAGTATTAAAGATAATTTTAAGATGAATCATTGTTTTATATATATATATATATATATATATATATATATAAAATAATAATTATACATAATATTCCATCCATCCATCTTCATCCACTTTATCCAGGGCCGGGTCGCGGGGGCAGCAGCCTAAGCAAAGAGGCCCAGACCTCCCTCTCCCCAGCCACCTCCTCCAGCTTATCCGGGGGAACACCAAGGCGTTCCCAGGCCAGCCGAGAGATATAATCTCTCCAGTGTGTCCTGGGTCTGCCCTGGGGCCTCCTCACAGTGGGACATGCCCAGAAAACCTCGCCCAGGAGGCGCCCAGGAGGCATCCTTGTCAGATGCCTGAACCACCACAGCTGGCTCCTTTAGATGTGGCTCTAGCAGCGGCTCTACTCTGAGCCCCTCCCGGATGGCTGAACTTCTCTTACCCTATCTCTAAGGGAGAGGCCAGCCACCCTTCGGCGGAAGCTCGTTTCTGCCGCTTGTATCCGTGAACTCGTTCTTTTTGGTCACTACCCACAGCTCGAGGCCATAGGTGAGACCCTGAGATACTTGACCTCCTCCACTTGGGGCAGGAACTCATCCCCAGCCTGGAGTGGGGACTCCACCCTTTTCCAGCTGAGAACCATGGCCTCAGATTTGGAGGTACTGATCCTCATTCCAAGATCTAAAATATAATTAACCCATTGCATTGATGTGCATGTCTGTGGATGTTTCTGTATTAAAATCTTTTGAAGACCAACTTGCTTTGCCTGATCTATGCAGAATCTCAGCATTTGGTGAAATATGTGAAATGTGAAATATTCTGAAACCTCTTTGTCAACATCATCATCCGAAGCCTCTCTCTCTTCCAAAATCAATTGGATGGCCCTCGCAGCAGATAATCTTTTGCCATCTTGATCAGTTGTGATAAAGAACCACACTGACAAAGTCTTATTTATAGTATTATGCCCCTAATTTGCAGGTGGGACAGGGTATGAGAAAATAAAATTTGGATCCCTCAAGAAAGAGGATAAAATGTGTGGGAATGTCAGAGCAGATGGTGTTGGTAGTTGAATTTTCAACAATGTTGCAACTTTGTGCGGAGCAGGAGGGGAAGAAAACACTATCAGCAGCACCAGAAAGGAGGAAGACAGAGTGTGGGAACACAGGACCTACACTTTCAACACTTTTATTAGACCTGGGTCCAGTGGACCCGAACACCTTGTATGTAATGTAAATGCGTGGGGGGAGGTACAGTATGAGGTCATTGAAAATTAGTCCGGATTTATGTTCTTCACAGAAAATAAGCCAAAGCCAATGAATTTCAGGTTGAAAAAATAATTAATTGTTTAATTTTTCTTTTGAAAAAAACTGAAAACGGGTCTCACAGACCCGAACACCATACAAGGGTTAAATGGGATTCCTGTTTTGTAATTTTGCAGTATATGGAACATACATATACTTGTTAAAGGAGTACAGTCCATCTGGAAGGTATTCAGAACACTCAACTGGTTCTGCATTATGTCATGGTACTGTCTTATTCCAAGATTAATTAAATTCATTTTCATCTCTACACACAATGCACTATAGTGACAAAGTCAGAAAAATGTTTGTAATTGTTTCAAATGTATCAATTTTTTAAATATGAATATATACTAAAATATATTAACAGCCAAAGAGTTCAGTCTTTTTTTCATCAAATCAGTGAATGTTGTTTCTAATGGTCCACAAGTCCTTCAGCTGTCTTTTGTCAAACTGTAAACAGGCTATCATGTGTCTTTTACTGAGGAGGGGGTCCCATCTGACCTCTCTATGATACAGACCACGTTGGTGGAGAGCTTCAGAAATGGTTCCAATTCTGTCTATTAACTCTATATACAATTCCTTGGACTTCAAGGCTTGGTTTGTTTTCTGGCATGCACTATCAAGTATGGGACCTTATCAAATCACAATAAATCATAATACCTAATCACTCATAAATCATGTCCAGTCAAATGTATTTTCCACAGGTGGATTATTATCAAGTTGTGTGAAGATCTGACAGATGATCAATAAAACAGGAAGCAGCTAGCTCAGTTTTGAGTGTCACAGAAAGGGCTGCACATACTCCCCTGTCCCCTGTATGTTTCGGTTGATGAAAAATGCATTTGTCACAAAGGTCAGTCTGTAGACCAACAGATATACATATAATTAGAGAATAGCATTTTAGTCCCCCGATATTAGAACAAGGGCTCTCAGAGATTGCAATTGCAGTCTGCTGTTAGCTCGTCCATATTATTAGGGAGCAATCACACATTTCCCATGATTACAGAATGGAGAGATGGTGTGTTTTGTCTCCCTTTCGGGTGACGATGCTCCCTCCCGGCATGACACCCCGTCTATTTCTCCTGATCTCGCTAGGGATGTCGGGTCTTTGAATTAAATTTATCAAATAAAGTTCCATTTAATTGTCTGTGTAACTGCAAATTATGACAAACCAGTACTTTTGATTTCTGTACCTTAATGGCCACAATGGGCTTGTAATTGGCTTTAACACACACACATAAATATATGCAAATATGGTTATAGGCATACATATATTTGTGTTACAGTTAACATTTTCTATCATAACAGATGCATTGCAGTGTGATTATAGGTATATTTTACAATAGTTTTATTGAATGAATCTTAAAAAGAATACCAATGCACCACTATCTTTGTGTTAGGGTCCCTGGGTCGTTGACCCAGTGTTTTGTGTTTTTGGTTCTTTGATTTTGTTATTTCATTATATTCTAGCTTTGCTTTATGGGTTTTAGGATCATTCTTAGTTTAGGTTCTCTGGGTGGGGTTGGTTAGAGTTTTAGTGTTCTGGTTTTCTGTCTGTGTTCTATAGTCGCTGTCTTCCCTTTCTGCTGTATCCCCACATCCAGTCAGTGTCTGTGTCTGCCCTGGTCCAACGTCTCTGTTCCCTTTGTTATAGTGCCTGCCCGTGAGTCTGTGTTATGTTTCCTGTTTTACTTTGAAAGTCCATGTCTGATGTTAATGTGTCTGGTTTTGCTTCCCCTTGTCTCGTTAGGCCTGATTTGCCCCAGCTGTGTTTCCCTCCTGTTACCCATTCCCTGATTGCTCCCTCTGTGTATTTAAGCCCTGTGTTTCTTAGTGTCTGTGTCGTGATCTACCGTTTATTTTGCTGTGTGTTTTGGTAATCTGCCGGTGTTAGTTTCTTTTTGACCTTTTTCCAGTTATGTTATGTTTGAGTTCAGCATTAAAGCTGTTTTGGTTTAAGTTCTGTCTCCGGAGTCTGCACCTTGGGTCCTATTCCTGTCCGCACACAGCCGTCACCTAACACTTTGTCCAAATTGCCTACGGGTGATCGTGGCTCAAGAGTTGGCAGTAGTGATGGGCAGATGAAGCCCCATGAAGCACTGAAGCTTTTCATCCAATTGGTTCACCCCAACGCGAAGCTTCATGAAGCTTCATTTGCTCTAGCAGGACACCTACTGGACGTAAAAATAATAGCTGGCATGAATTTGAAGAGTGTGGCATTTTGCACACAGCCTGTAAATGTCAACAACAAAAGGAGTGTGTAAAACATGTATATTGTAGTGATGGCAGTATACTGTGTATATTTATACTGGCAGTATGGGAAATGATTATTTGGAAATGCTTGAACTGGAAATGATCATTTACTGTGAGGTGAGGTGTGGTTGGGGTGTGGACAGTAGTTGTGCTTTTGTAACGTTGAGGTATGGACAGCTACACACTGAGGCTTTGAGCCTCAGTCCTGCCTGTTCACATTTTATTCTGTAAAAACTAAATTTTCACTGCTTTTATAACCTTTAGTGGGGAGAACATAGCTGGGATTTAATGATTTAACAAATCTTTTGAATCCTTTGTCCTCCACAATGCTAAATGGCTGGGAGTCCTCAATCACCATGGTAACCAGGTCTTCATCTATTTGAGATTGTTCTCCTGAGGAAAGACAATAAAGACAAAGCACAAATATAAATATCACATACGTAACTTATTACAGTTGTATAATATTGTTATATCATTTAGTAACATTACTGCATGCTATATTATCATTGCATTTGATGGCTCACCTGGTCTTGCTCCACAATCGGTGTTCCTCTTATTCTCATGCAAAGCTCTGTAGTGCCTAAGCATGGATGTTGTTGTTATATCCCAGCTCCCTGGCACAGAGCAAACACTTCTCCTTGTACAAAAGTCAAGACAGCTCAACATAAATTGTATTGCACCATCAGTATTATGAAAATACATCTTCTGTAGAAATTTGCATACCTTGTTGGGAGGAATAAGATCAAAATGTTCCCACACAGGGGAGGACATCCTCCTCTTCTTAGCTGGCTCCATTCTCTCCTGACTTTCTCTCCTCACTCTCATAAACCTCCAAACTGTCTCCAAACTCTCACTAACCGCAACTCTCCATCAAACACCCACATTTTAAATGAAGTCTGAGGGGTTTATATCGCTGTCATATCTCGCGGCAAAGTTCGAACCACTTCATGAACCAGTCACGTGGTACAGCCGGGCAGCGAGGCTTCGGACGTCATCATTTTCAGCTCCTCCCATAAATGAAGCAAGCCTCGATACGCGCTTCGCGGAAACGCCCCCTCCATTACTCGACACACGCTCCGAAGCCTCGATACAGAACGTCACATCACTAGTTGGCAGTTTGTCTTCGGAAGGTTGCCGGTTCGAGCCCCGGCTTGGCCAGTCTCGGTCGTTGTGTCCTTGGGCAACACACTTCACCCGTTGCCTACTGGTGGTGGTCAGAGGGCCCGGTGGCGCCAGTGTCCGGCAGCCTCGCCTCAGTCAGTGCGCCCCAGGGCGGCTGTGGCTACAATGTAGCTTGCCATCACCTGTGTGTGAATGTGTGTGTGAATGGGTGGATGACTGGATATGTAAAGCGCTTTGGGGTCCTTAGGGACTAATAAAGCACTGTACAAATACAGGCCATTTACCATTTAATAAAGAAAGAAGAAATCTTCAGAAGAAGGGGGCGGGCTTTACTTCCTGCCAAGACTGATCACATTCACATTAAAGAACTGTGACATTGAGACATCAAAGTAAGACTGTTTCAGCTGTAAGACCAGCAAACATCTGTCATTTACTGATTCCTGGGGACTGAAGTAAACAAAACAAAACATAATTACA